ATCGAATGGATCAATTGAATCGACCAACAAATGTGATTGTTGATCAAAAAAATCATTCGATCATTATTGCTGATTCTGGGAACAGACGAGTGATTCGATGGTTGAATCAAGATCAACAAATTCTGACTGAAAATATTGACTGTTGTGGCTTGGCAATAGATAAATATGGATTTCTTTATGTTTCTGATATCGCGAAGAATGAAGTTCGAAGATGGAAAATGGGTGAATACGATGAAGGAATTGTAGTAGCAGGTGGAAATGATGAAGGAGATGAACTCAATCAATTCAATCATCCTAATTTTATCTTTGTTGACGAAGATGAATCTGTTTATGTATCGGATACAGGTAATCATCGTGTGATGAAATGGAGTAAAGGTGCAAAAGAAGGAAGAATTATGGCTGGAGGAAATGGTGAAGGAGGAAATCTCAATCAATTGTCTTATCCTCGAGGAGTAATTGTCGATCATTTGGGTCAAATCTATGTGGCAGATTTTGGAAATGATCGAGTAATGCGTTGGTGTGAAGGAAAAGGTGAAGGTGAAATTGTTGTTGGTGGATATGGAAAAGAAGATCATTCGAATTACCCTCGTGGTTTGTCTTTTGATGATGAAGGAAATCTTTATGTTGTCGATTCTCTTAATCATCGAATTGCAAAATTTGAAATAATTTTGTGAATTAGTTTTGATTTCAGAAAAAGAAAAAACTTTTTTGTTAAATAAAAATCGATAAATAAAATTAAAAGGAAAAGTGAAGTTTTATTGTTGAAAATGAATGGAAAAAATCGAATAAATAAATGTTAAATCATCGAAAGTAATCAATACGCATCGATCAAAAATCATAAGTAGAAAATTTAGTTTCGTACATCATTACTGCATTAATTAAGAGGGTAACATGATTAATAAAAGGATTTGTAGATATTGATTTAACTTCAAACTTTGTCCGTATATTTTGTTTCAAATTAAAGAAATGTCTTAGCTTGATTTGATTTCAACGAACTTTTCAATAATTAAAAAGTCTGTAAGAACAAAAATCTAACTCGTAACGACTCTACATGGGTAAGTTTAAGAATATCTCAAAGGTACATTACAATTTTATATAGTATTACTATTTGATTTCTTTTTTGTTTATATTTAGACTGAAAAAGATAAACGTATGAAATATCATCAAGATATGGCACGATGTATCTTCCGTATATTTAAAACAACTAAAGCTGATGAAGGTTAGAAAAATGAATTTAATTTATTTATCTATTGATTTCTTATAGGTGAATATACATGTCAAATTGATGATGAACGTGGTATTAAAACCACTGGTTCACTTTATATCGAAGGTAACTCAATATAGAAAAACGAAAATAATATTTTCAAAATATTTTTCTACAACCACAATGGTGTTTTCAAACAAAATTACCTACACCATTAGAAGGTGATGAAAATGATAAGATTGAACTTGAATGAAGTCTTGAAGATGAAGATGCTGAATGTGATTGGTATTTTGAGAGTGAAGTAAGTGTAAAATATTATTTATTAACATAAATATATATTTTTAATTCTTTATTTATCATAGAAAAATTCTTCAGGAATTCTATCCTGATGGATATGAAATAATATCATATTGGAAAAATTCGTGAATTAGTTATTAAAAAATTAAGTTTAAACGAAGATAAAAGAAGATATGAATGCAAAAAAGGTGTTATGTCAACATATTGTGATGTATCTATTAAATGTATAATAATTATTTTTTTATTGAAGTTTTATTTAAAAAACATTTTTTAGATTTAGCTGCACTTCAAATTGAAAAAGGATTAAAAGATATTGATGCACTGGAAGAAGAAGATTTTACACTTGAAGTTACATTATCTAAATCTGATTCACGAGGAAAATGGGTAAAAGATGGAAAAGTTCTTTGTCTAGATTAAAAGTAAAATATAATCATATACTTCATTCGATTCTTTCTATTATTATTATTTAGAATGGTTATCCTTAATGAAGGAAATGTTTATAAATTAAAATGAAAAAGTATTGGTCTTAAAGATGCTGGAGAAATTGCATTTCAATGTGGTGATTTGAAAGATAGTTGTAAAATATTTGTTAAAGAATGCATGAAAATCTTTTAGTTTTTATATTCCAAATAATTAATTAATATAAAACTTATTTAGCTAAAAAACAATCAAGTATTGATGCAACACGTTTTGGTAAATTTATTACAATTAAAACCGGACGACTACTTAATCTTGAAATTCTTTATGATGCTTATCCAGCACCAACAATAGTTTGGATGAAAGATGGTTTATCATGTCAAACATCAATCGATGCAAAACGATGTAAATTAAATATGTAAGACAAACAAATGATTTGATGTTTTTTTTATTATAAAAATATGATTTTATTTTTTAGTGAAAAATCAAAACGAGGTGATATAGGCAAATATGAATTAATATCAAAAAATGCTAAAGGAGAAGTTAAAATTCCTACTGATGTTACTGTTCTTGGTGAGAATATTTTCATTAGAAATAGATTATGAAGGAAAATTCAACGTCTCTTTTTTTTATAATTAAGCTCGTCCTGATAAACCTGAAGGGCCAATGAAATTAACTGGTATTACTAAAGAAACTGTTGTTGTTTCATGGAAACCTTCATTGGCTAATGGTGGTACGAATACTAACTGATCGATGGATTCCGTAAGAGAAATAATTTATTAAATTTGTATTATCGTTTAAAATTCAATTTAAATTTTAGTGTTAATCGTGAACCAGTTTCAGGTACTGAATATACTGTTTCTGTTCTCGTTGATGGCAAAGAATATGAACTTCGTGTTGTTGCCGTTAATAAACCTAGTCCAGGAGAATATGGTACATATTCAACTTTGTTTTTTTTACTATTATTTTTAATTAATATTCTATTTTTAGCTAAAACTGAAGGACCAATTCAAGCTCGTCCACCTGATGTTACTCCACATGCTGTTGGTTTCAGTGCATTTAGTCCAAAAGAAATCATTGTTCGTGCTGGTGAAGATCTTAAAATTACTGTACCATTTGTTGGTTCACCTGCACCACAAGTTACATTTGCTAAAAATGGCGATGAAATTAAACCTGATGGAAATAATCAAGTAACTGTGAAAGATGGTATTGCTGAACTTATTGTACCAAAAGTAAAAGCTGGTGATACTGATTTATATTCATGTACTTTAAAAAATCATCTTGGACAAGAAACTGTTCAAATGAAAGTTATTGTTGTTGATAAACCAGGTTAGTTTCTTTTGTCGAACATTAAATTCTAATATTTTATTTGGATATTAGATACACCCGAAGGACCATTAAATATTTCCGATGTAAAACCTGACATATGTTTATCGACATGGAAACCACCAAAAACTGATGGTGGTTCACCAATTACTAATTATATCATTGAAAAATTTGATACGAAAAAAGGTGAATGGCAAAAAGTATCAAGTTTTTGTCGTTCACCATTTTATGAAGTAACTGGACTTACTGAAGGTTCAGAATATAAATTTCGTGTTTCGGCTGAAAATCTTTATGGATAAAGTATACCATTGGAATGTGAAAAACCAATTATTGCAAAAAATCCTTTTGGTAAGTTTTTATTGAAACAAAATTGAATTGATAAAAATATTTTTTTTTCTATCGATTATGTTTAGATGCACCACAAGGTCCAGCTAATGTCGAAGTTGACAAACAAACAGAAAATTCAGTTACATTAAAATAGGATAAACCTAAAAATGATGGTGGTTCAAAAGTAACTGCTTATCAAGTTGAAATACGTAAACCCGATAGTGATATATGGGAAATTGCAAATGATTATCCAATTAAAGGAAATGATTTTACAGTTGATAATCTTTCAACAGGAAAACCATACGAATTTCGTGTTAAAGCTAAAAATGCTGCTGGTTGGGGAGAATATACTAAACTTGATCGACCAGTTACACTTAAACCTGATAGTGGTATGCAAAAAAATTCATTTTAAAAATAAAAATATGCTCGTTTTGTTTTGTTTCTAGTTGCACCTTCATCACCTGGTATGCCAGAAGTGAAAAAAGTTGGTAAAAATTATGTTGAACTAGCATGGGCAACACCAACAAATGATGGTGGTTCAAAAATAACTGGTTATATTGTTGAAAAACGACCAGCTGGTACTGATCAATGGGTTAAAGCATCACCATATATGTCAGTTGAGAATAATGCTATAATAACTGATTTACCTGAAAATGGTGAAGTTGAATTTCGTGTTAAAGCAGTTAATAAAGCTGGTGAAAGTGAACCAAGTTCAACAACAGGTCGAGTTAGAATAACTCAATATCCAAGTAATGCAATATTTCTTTTTTTTTGAATTAAAATATTTACATATGATATATTTAGATAGACGAGCACCAACATTTGTTGAAAAATTAAAAGAAACAAGTGCATCTCTTAATGGTGAAGCAACATTTACAATTGAATTTGATGCTAATCCAGCACCTGAAGTTAAATGATTTCGTAATGGTTTAGAATTATCATCATCTGGTCGTTATCGTATTGCTACAAGAACAAATGAATCGGAATCGACATTAATATTCAATGAAGTCTGAGATAGTGATAACAGTTCAAAGATTTCATGTTAAAAGTATGTTTTAATAGAGTTTAAATTCATTACTATTTAATTTTGTCTCTTGTCTCTTTTTCTAGCACCACCGAAACTTACACGTGAGCCAGAAGAACAACGAGTTCCATTGGGTGATACATTAAAAGTTAAAATTCCTATTACTGGAAAAGGTCCATTTAAATTTCAAGTTAATAAAGATGGTCAATCATTAGCTAATGATGATCGTGTACGAATTCAAGAATTTGATGATTTTATTGTTGTTACAATACCTGGTTTGTATTCTATTAAAGTTGGTTTTTTTTCTATTCTAAATTCTTCATTTAATCTTATTCAGATACTGAACGAGAAGATGCTGGTAAATATGCAATTAATGTTGCAAATGATTCAGGATCATGTAATGTTCCTTTGAAAGTTAAAATCATTGGTATGATTGAAAACTATCATAAAACTTGAGATTAACGTTTTTTTACAATAGCACCACCACTTCCTCCAACTGGTCCACTTGAAATATCAAATGTAACAAAAGATCGTGCAACACTTCTATGGAAACCACCAAAAGATGATGGTGGTAATAAAGTAACTCGTTATGTTGTTGAACGACGTGATACATCAAAAGGAGCCGATGCTTGGATAGCAATTACACAAGCATGTAAAGAAACAACATTTACTGTTCCATCATTACTTGATGGACATGAATATGATTTTCGTGTTATGGTTTTTAATGAAAATGGTACTAGTGAGCCATTACGTTCATCAGCACCAACTGCTGCTAAACTTCCATTCAGTATGTTAATAATAATTAATTTTATTTTTTCTAGAAATTTTTTTTTCTTAATTTTTAAATAGAACCACCTGGTTCACCAGGACAACCAGATATTACTGGAATGACAAATAATATTGTCACACTTAATTGGGAGAAACCAACTTCTGATGGTGGTGGTCCTATAACTGGTTATTTGATTAAAAAACATGAAGAAAATACTGATAAATGGATACCAGTCAATATGCCACCATGTCAATCAACACATTTTACAGTACCGTCATTAGTCGAAGATCATATTTATGAATTCCGTGTTACAGCTGAAAATGAAGCTGGAAAAGGAACACCATCTGATGCAACCACACCAACTAAAGTAAATAGAAATGAAGTTTTTCAATATTTTCTAAATAAGATTTTTTATTTTATTAGGTTAAAGATCCAAATACATCTACTACTGCAGCAGCAGAATTTCTTAAAATATTAAAAGATGCTGAAGGTAATGAAGGTGGAGCAATTACATTAGAATATGAAGTTATTGGAACACCTAGACTTGATGTTGAATGGTTTGTTTCTTTTCGTTAATTAGCTATATCAAACTATCTCCTTATAATAAATAATTAGGTTCAAAGGTACAAACGAAATCTCTCAAGGTGCTAAATATACGATAACACGTGATAGTGATAAATGTATTTTGGTTATTAATAATGCGACACCAGATGATGTTGATGAATATAGTTTTAAAGCACGTAATAAAGGTGGTTCAAGAATGTGTCGTTGTAATGTTAATGTTCGATGTAAGTTTAAATCTATAAATAAAAATAAATTCTTAATATATGTATTCTTTTATTTCTAGTACCACCAAGATATCAAGATGTTCTTAATTATGATAAAGGTGAAGCAATTGTTATAAAAATTCCTTATATTGGTAGTCCATTACTTAATGTAACATTATCGAAAGATGGAAATGATATGACAAAAGATAAAAAAAATTTAATTAATGCTAGTGATCGAGCTATTACATTAACTATTCAAAATGGAAATAAAAATACAACTGGTCGTCAACCAGAACGAGCTACACGTAAACATGAAAATATCTATGATTATTATGATATTGTTAAAGAAATTGGACGATAAATAAGGGTGGATGGGTGTGAATGTAAATGTTGGAATAGGAATAAGACATCCTCACCTACACCCATCCTAGCCATTACAAATTAAATAATATGAATTAGTTATTAATAATCAATACATATTCATTGATTAATAACAAATAATTAATGCTACTTGATTAATATTAATTAATAATGCCTGTTACGGTCTGAGAGGGAGAGGGGTAGGATGTATACCTTTAAACATTTCAACGCTCGTTTTAATTAGTGTTTCACAAAAAACTTTTTATTATTATATAACATTATGTGTATAAATTTAAGAAAAATTTATTCTAGATTTTTTTTCTAACCATTACGATTTAGACGAAAGTTCATTTTGCGAAGATATATTGGATACAAAACTTAATTAAAATGATCCGAATCGAAAATAGAATCGAATTTTGATAAACAAACATTTGTTTTTCTTATAAAATTTGATAATGCAATTATATTTGAGCTTTCTGTTCAATTTATTTGTTTCTATTTCAGATAAAATACGATTACTGGTTCTTTTATCATTCTGGTAGTCATCATCTGATTAACATATTATTTTCGTAAGTATTGATATTAAGATAGCTGAGACAATAGAAGAAGGACAACGAGAGAAAGAAATTATTGAAAAGAACCATTCCCTTTGATTTTCTTTTCTCATTTACGATATTTTATCACTTGAGAAGTCGCTATCGTTGAATATTTAAGTTGTGAGTGTAGGATCTGAGTTAAGAGAAGATAGACGCCTACAGCCCATTCGCACCCATACGTACTGTTAGCTCTTATACGTACAGAGTTGTAGACAAATAGATGTGACCGATGTTATGTGACAAAACGAAGAAAAATATGTCCTTATCGGAACTCGAATCACGTATCTTCTGCTATCCGAGCAGATATCCGAACCAGTTAGACTAGAAGGAACATCTAATCTTCGTTTAGCGTCAGCGTGTAGCGTCACTGACGCTAACACCCACACCCTTCAAAGCCATATATAAGGCTTGTCTTGATGATCACGTTTAGATAAAAAATTAGAGAAAATCATCAAAATCATATAGGATGGAATTTTATAATACGAAAAAAACTATGATGCCGATGAGCTAGGAAGGTGATTTTTTACCATATAATCAGGATAGTCAGGGCTTCAATCGCTGAAAGTTTCAGCCGGATCGGTAACGGTCACTGCATATGTGGGAGATTTTCGGTAGAATTACCCATATAAGCAAGTTGACGTTATAGAATGATAGTTATTGACACTAACATATTTATTATTTACTTTTGAAAATGTATGTAGATTCCATAAAATCGAATTCTTTTTGTATCCGTTTTAGAGTAATGATGAAATATACTTTTTTTAGCCAGAGTTTTTATTTCAGTAGAGGCTGATTAAATTATTAAGTATTAATTTACACGGAACAAACGACATTTGCTTCGCAATCACACACAACACTATAAAATATCTTGTTCTCCTCTTCGATTCATTCAAAAAAAAATGACTCAAAGCAGTATAAAACACGTGCTTATCATTGGCGGTGGGCCGACAGGTCTTTTACTCGGTATGAGATTGTTTTCTTCAGATTTTTTGTAATATTCTTATATATTTATTATTACAGCTGGTCTTCTTCGTGATCAAAATGTGCCTGTTACTGTTATTGAAAAACGAAGAGAAATGACACGAACACGATGTGTTAAATTATTAGAAAGAATTCTATCATACAATACAGTTTCTGATGAACTTTATTTATTTTCTGAAAGCCAACTTGAAGAACGACGAAAAGCCATCAAATCTATGAAACCAAAACTCTTTAAGATAATTGCTAATTGGCTAGAAATAACTACACCTCTTCAACATATTCAGGAGACACTAGCAAATTACTATACTTCAGCTGACGATCAAATTCGTTTTAGTGATCAATACGACTTCAGTAAAAATTTGGATATACTTGACTATCATCCGAATACGATTGTGATCGATTGTACAGGTTATCATTCTGTATTACGTAATCTCATTTTACCAAATAATCGTGTTGATCGATTTATTGAATATGTTTTAATATGTACATTTATATATGAAGACAGATATATATGCAATGAGTTATGCAAATATTATAAAAATCAAAATACAAAAAAATTTCAAATCATTCCAGCAATTGATGATACTTATACTACAGGAGAGAGACAAACACATGTTACATGTTTAATTACAATTGAGACGCCGCTGTACAAACAATTGTCGAAGATAGGACGTATAACATATGATTATTTAAAAGAAAATCAAAATGAAATCTATGATGATCTGAATACGTTTTTTAGTAATCTTTCAACTGGAAATTTGAACAAAATTCACTTTGATACGATGGAATTCATTTGTATTCCTTTACAAGTATATCGTGCTAGAAAATTCACACATACAGTGAATAATAACGATCTCAATCAACATTGGGTATTGATGGGTGATGCAGCGATGGGTGGACCTTATTTTCAATCGATTAGTATGGGCTTTGAATCGGCTATTTATTTCGCTTATCTTTTTAAAAATACGAACGGAAATACTCAAGATATGTTGAAGCTATATGAAGAATATGTAGACAGATTATGGTTGACACTTCAGATTCGTACAAGAGAAATTCAACGAAACAAACAAATTTTGCAAGCATTATGTGCTAATGATACACCTGGAATTTTGAACAAGATCAGAACTTATTAATATCCAATTAATCCACTGAAAAATAACCCAAGTGTCTGTCTGTTTTTCGAGAATATTCCAACGACGATCGTAAGTATTTAGGGTGTGGGTGTTTTATTTTAACCACACTCACAACCACCCTTAAGGTGTTCATTTCATACCACAAACTTTAGATATGGTAATCTGAGTTCTCCACTTGTTCTCTTTCTTTCTATACGATCTATTTTCTTTTTCCATATTTTCTCTTGTCTTGATATCATTTAAGAATTTTTTTATGATTGATCGTTCTTATTCGACTTCTTCTTGAATTCTTTTATGCATATGCGTGTATATAACCGTCATTCTGAAAATAAAATCACTCTCTGTATACCATTATTGACAACCTAGTAACATTACTATTCTGTTTTAGATTTCTTAGTCAGCTTCACTGCAAGCTTATGAACCATTAACTCAACTCAGCAACAAGTTAAAAATCAAGTTCCAACTTCAATACATCCACAAACAGTTAAATCATTTTATTGCTCATACACGTAAGTGAGTTCTTATTTGATTTATTTCTATGTATGATAAAATCTACCCAGATAGTAATTCATATCCTCTAAGTTACGATACTATTGCGATAGTTTTATGTGATCTATCTCTCTTGATGGATGTATCATATTCTAGTGGAAAATGAGGAATTGTTGTTGATAATGAGATTCTCTTTTTCACCGCTACACTCACCTTTACCTCACACCTTGAGTGGAAGTTCGATCCTTTTTTGCTTGTTTCTATTCGCTGATATGACGAGTCGCTCGGATACTCCTATGGTTCACCACTGGCAGATCATTCTTTTCTTGAGAGTGTGGGTGTGAGAGTGATGATGAAGCTGAGACCGACACCTTCACTTTTTGGTTTGAAACAAAAACACTTTTTATTTTTTATTTTATAATTATCGTGAAGTTGATGTATGACCAAACAGAAGAGAAAAATAGAACATCATTTTCTCTATCACCTAATAGAAAAATAAATTGTGATAGTCTCGTAAAGACTTTTGGTATCACCTAAGTAATGGCAGTTCTACGTAGCTCTTCCAAAGCAAACAAATAGATATGCACGAAAAGAGTGACGAATCCTACGCAGTATTTTCAGTCCTTGAAACAAGTCTTAAGTAGATATAGGCAACTTGAGGATGTTGGGCGGGTTTGTGTAATATATTTAGCTCTCATTCACATCCACACCCACCCTCTAAAATGTTTTGTTTTTGAATATTCATGATATTGAATTTAGAAAAAACCAACAAAGTTATCTTGAATAATGGCAGTTGATGCCGATCTTGCTGATCAACCACTTGAAAATGTAACTGCTCAATCACTTCTATCAAATCGATTGGAACAGTTCAAACAAGATAAGTCGGAAAAATTTTCAAAATCAACTTATCTTTTAACAACTGTTGATGAGCATATCGATGGTCAATTGAAAGAGCGATTAGAACAGGCAAAAATGATTTCTACTGGAGAAAGAATTATATTGTTTCCTTACAATTTGGGTAATTCTCATTGGATTGGATTGATAATAAAATTTAAAATGAACGAAGAAATTGAACATGCACGCTTTATTGATCCAGTAGAGAATTCGGAATTTCTCCATGCAAATTTACAAAACCTATTCAGTAAAATATTCCCAGATACCTACATACGTTCAATACCTGTTCAACATCAAGTCGCTCTAAAACATAGTGCGCTATTCATTATCGATAACTTAGTAAGAGAGGCCGCATTGTTTGAAACACCAGAACCCAAATCTTCGAACGAAAATCATGTTTCTTATCCTAGCAATGATGATCAACAACCAAATTTTTTCCAAGGTAATGTAACAGAAAAAAAAGTGAAAGTATCGAATATAGAAACAAAAAGTGAGAATTGATCGATGAATAACTCATATGAGGAACTAAGAAAACACTTATAGACTGGATTAGAGGAACAGGAGATTAGTAATGAGGAAAAATTGATGAAAGAAATCGTAAAAAGGGTGTGGGTATGAGTTAAGAGCTGATAGATATCCACACCCATACCCTCAAACTTCGTGTAAAAAGTAGTGCATTAGATCCAAATAGATTATATCTTGTTCATTTAATTGAAATTGATGAGGAGAATAATGGTAATACTCATACATTAGCAACATCAATCAATCAAATGCAACTAGCAACAAAAGCAACAAAAGCAACAAAAGCAACACAAACAAAAGCAACAACAACAACAAAAAACCAAATCAGTTTAAGTGAGTTTATTTCATATTAGGATTTCTTTCAAAACTGAAATCTTCTTTTTCAATTCAGAAAATGAATCTTTTTTCTTTTATCCATTTTCATCGAAAACTTGACATGACAACCAATAAAGTTTATCAAAAATATTGAGTTTTTTGTTTTATGATAAAATTTTTCTATTGATTTGATACTTTAATTGTAAAAGATTTCGAATCAGTTAAAATTTCATCTAGATTTATCATAAGAAATCGTCAAAATCTCTATTTTTGTATTTTTGTTTATTCTGTTCACTGACTAATTATCGATCTTTAAATAATCTTCTATTATTTATAATATGATTTATATATCAATATCTATATCTTTTTTATAAAAAATGTGAGTATATAGTCATAATAATATTCTTATTCTTCTCACATTCTCATTCATCTATGACAAACTTGTTGAATATTTTGTCTAGTTTTTGTTAAAGATAAATAACATCGTTTTTTCATTCGATTTAAATCATTTTATATCACTCAGATTTTTGTTACTTTGCAAAGTGAAAGCAAAAATGAAAATCGAGAGACATTAAACTCTCCTTCATTTTTATTATAAAATAATTCTCTTGAGATAGTTATGTTTATTATCGAGAATAGGCAATGTTATGAGATTTCTATGAACTCATGAATAGATTTTTCTCTTCTTAGAATTATTAAGATTTTTATGATAAGAGTATTGTAAATTTAATAGTAATTAGAGATTATAAAAGAGCAATGCGATGAAACAATAAGTATCATTATTATACTATATGAGGATGTAAATAAACATCTTCAACCACAGCCTTAATTTATTTATTTAAGAAAAAAGAAACGAAAAGAAAAGTATTTTGATGATAATTGAAATTAAAACGAAGTAAAATGAAATGAAATCTTGTTGATGATGTAGAAGAGAAGAAAAGAAAAGCGAGACGCATAGAAGTTGAGCATCCAGTGTGGGTGTGGGTGTAGGTTCTCTATTTCATACACATCCACCCTAAAATTCAATTCGATATATATGTACAATGATTAATTCTGAGAGAGTTCAATTGATAATAAAAACTTCTTAAAAGAAAATTCTGCATTTTTATCATTTGATATTCTTAATAATTATATATTTAGAAATAATATTCATCTGATCTATTTCTTATTTTATTTTTTATGTGTGAGGATAATAATTTGATTTTGTTTTCAATTAATTAATATATTTTGTTATTATTTTAATTTTATTGGTCAGCTGAGTCGCATTAATTAATTTCAATATAGAAAGTTTTGTCATATTAGAAATTTCTTTGAAAATGAGATTTAATAAATATAACGAAAAATTTCTTTGTTTTATTATTCTCTTTCTCGCATAGACGAGTACAGTAAGATTAAATTATCTGTTTGTTTGTGTATCCACAGTTTACTGGTTGGTTCGAAAATAATCTCAATAGAACACTATTGTTTTCCATAAAACTGTACCGAAGATAATCGAGGGTGAGGAATTTGCATCCGAGATCGGCTTTTTTGAAATTTTTTTCGACTGAAATTTTTCATAAAGAATAGACTTCTTATGAAAAAATTCCTCTTATTTTTGGTCACAGGTAATCGTGGTCGAGAAACACGGATCTAAAGTTTGCTTTAGAAATTGTTTAAAGAAATGATCTGATCGTAGTAAAGATACCATTTTGACGAGAAAGCGTTGAGTGAATCTTCAGACGAACGTTCCTTGTATTTATATATTGATAAATCCATAAATAAAATTATGCATCGATATTTTATGATAAATATATGAGTAAATTATATTCGATTTGAATTCTATTGAGGTTAATGTGATTATTTTAGAAATCTCTATCATATTGTTTAATTTTTCTTTTTCATTTTGTTTTAGTTCGATTATTTTATTGGATTTCAATTATACTTTCTGTATTAATCGCCTATTTCTGTTTCTATTATGGTCAACTTCCAGAAAAGTTCAGTAAGTATAAATTTTTTGCTTGCTTTCTTACTTGCTTGTGTACTCGCACTTCACTCATTGGCCCGAAAGTAATCTTGAGGATGGGTGTGGGTGTAAATGAAAAGAAAAGAATAGCACTCACATCCACATCCACATTCTCAAGATGGATAGATACTCAATTATTCAACTTATTCTGAAAGTTCTAGCCTTATAGAATGCGAGTTGGTAGAGAAAACTGCTAGTATGTCTCACACACTCATTTACCACTGAACCCGGATTTTCGTATTTTATTGTTTTCACAATTGTTCTATATCTTATTTAAGATTTTGGTTATTAATTAGTTATGTGTTAGATACATCTTTACAAAGAGACATCATTGATGGTCTTCATATATCATTAGGTCAGTAAATGGAACAAATCTTCTTCAGTCACTATATTGATAAATATGCGTCACTGATCGATCAGAAATAAGAACTACCATTGAAATATATGCACTAAAATCTCAGTTCCTATTGTTGTCATTATATTGTAATTTAGCTATCTTTTTCTTCATAATCAAAATATTTTATATAGTTACATATTGAATTTAACTAAAACATGAAAATACTTATTCACTCCTCTACTGTTCAAAGATGAAGAATTATCACACTACACTTGCAACATATATGCACCAACTCCATAC